TCAACAAACAATTTATTGTTCAAATCGACATCTACTTTCGAATAGATTTACTTACTTATGATATGCCATTCGTCAATTCCTTTCTTATTTATTGTATCGAATACTTAAAAAAAGCGAATAATTTAGTAAGGTATATATATATAACTTTATGCATTAATTAAATTAAAAAGAAACTTTAAGTACATCTTATTGGGCATGTGCAAGTTTCATACTTGGATGAAACTTTAATAACGATGTTCAAGATTAATTTTAGTTTTTAAGGTAGATAAAGCGCCCTTTCATTTTGCCTTGATCATTCAGTGTTATTACATGTTTTTAAAGCTTTCTTGTGATTGCGATACGAACTTTGAATTATAACAATTCAAGTTTCGAGTGAAACCGTCTGGTTCTGCAAAGAAGATGCTTCTTTTCCACTTTCTGCCTAATTCGAAAACCGTCGGATAAAGTTCTTTATTGTTGTCATTTTATTTTCAGCTCAAACTTACACAATAAACTATGTGCGAACTGTTCACCAGGGCAATCGAAACTTCAATCTTACCGCTGACCCACTGGAGGACAAACTATAACTAACTTAGACTAGAAAGGAAACACCCAAAACAAGGCAAACTAAACAGCACCAAAGATACTTTTAGGAAATATTTTAAAATGCTTTATAAATTAATAATTGAACTCTCTACTACGTGGCATTAAAATTGAAATACACACATTTGTAGCTCATTTCATTATCTGAACAAACTTCTAGATGTCATTAAAGTTTAATTTTGAAAAACGAGGTATGTTATAGATACAATATGTACATTACCTTAATATCTGAATGTTGTTTTTTGTGTAACCATTTAACCAGATTTGTTTCAAGTATCTCAAATAATCAAAATACAATATTTTGTTACGAATTTGAATTTCAAATGGTCTGAAACCGAGCTAAATGATAAATCTAAATTTAGTAGTTAAATTGTACTTCGGATTTAGCAGTTAAGTAAAACTCGATATATAGTCAGTTTATAATATTTTCCAACGAGATTGATATACACAGTTTTCTTTTTTAACCCAAATACGTTTTAATATACACATAACAATACAATTTACAATAACACTTATTACAAATATCTGTTACAAACAATGATTTATAAACAAAAGTTTCATAAACATACAAGCAAAATAAAGTTTTCTTTCTAGTCTGGAACTTCTTTTATATCTTATCGAGAGTTCACGATGAACGAGCTTATTACGAGTTGATATAGGTATAATTCACTTAACAGAGAGCTAGTTAACTTTGCACTTCGTTATTCACCAGCCACACACGCTGATGTTTCCAGCATGACGTTATGTAATGTTTCGTAAAAACAATAATGTCCACTGAGAATCCACTGAAGTTAAATGATTTGTAATGTTCGAACTTTGTAAGTGCTCCTGGTCAAATATCTGAAGTTTTCCGATTGACAAGCGTTATAACAATCACAGTTATAGCTTTCGAAGTTCATAGCACACTGACTATAGCGAACTAATAATAAATACTCTTTTTGGCGCGCCGCGTTGGTTATATTTATAGGCGTGTGGTGGCTTTCTCGAACTTTCAGTTTTACGTAGCAATACTGAGCTACATTTAAGCGTTTGCGTACATACATATATTGCTGATTCTTACTCTTGAGAATCTTCTACAACTTTGGAGAATAGGCGAGAGTTTCGCAATACATATCTAACACTATAAGCTATGCATGTTTTTAAATATAAACCTAATCTAAACAAACGTTGATATTAAAATAAATATATAATAATAAATTCGTTGCAATTCACTTACACAAAAGCTAGTAAAAACATAGTAAGGTGCCATCGATATTTAGTACAAAATAGTTAACATTGAAATAAAAAAATATAACTTAGTTAGAAAAAATGTCAAAAAATATTTCACTTACCTATTCACATAACCATCACTATTACCATTATAATTTTCATTCTTGCATATGAGTCTAATCAAAGGATCCCCGTCAAATAATGCTTAAGCTAAAGTGGATACATATAAAAACTATCAGAGAGAGAGAACATCTATCAAACCGTAATAAAAGTAACAACAGTAACCACATCTCCGCTGAAGACGTATGCCCCCTCCCCACCACCTCAGCGATATGTCTATAGACTTACAACGCTAGAAACCGGGTTTCGATACCCGTGGGGGGCAGAGCACAGATATCCCTTTGTGTAGCTTTGTGCTTAACTACAAACTGAAGACGTATAGGAAATGATTTGTATTATTCACATTTCAACACAAGTGATTTCGGCCTATTTATACTACTCTTGATTATTCTAATGATACACTAACCAACGTTTTCAAATATATAAAAACTCATCTGTAATACATTAGTTTGAAACGTTCTATTGGTAAGATGTGTCTACGCTTTGCTTTTTATAAAAGGGGAGTGAATTTAAGTTTCTATCGCCTTACAGAAACAATTTTTTGAACACCTCACATTGTATATAAATTTCGTTTATGTCTTGATTGAAAAGATAATGTTACAATTAAGAGGTTAAAGACTTCCAACATGAATAATTTGAACATAATTTAAGTATTACAAAATGAATAGGTTTGGTGACAGTCGTGTCTTTCACTGCACCTCTTCAATAGTAAGAAGGCTTACAGGTATTGGTTAACTTTCACGTGTGTATAAAACGGTTAAGATGAGAGTAAGGGTAAGATTACATTAGGTAGTTGTTGTATCCTGTGGTGTTTTGTTTAGAGTTTATCAAGTGCTGGAACCTGTTTATTTGGCTCTGATGTCTGTCAACCATCAATCACAGGTAACGGATGTTTCTAGAAGATGGGCAAGATGATTTTAATAAGGTTATGTGATCATGATAATAGAAGTTCTTGGGCCATTAGGTAGTTCTCAATACAGTTTAAATGACACTGAATTGTCCCCTTTGTATTTTTTTCCTCCGTCCCACTATCTTCCTAAAAGCTAATTTTCACTTTGTACTAAATACATATGCATATTGATCGACTGGTCATAGAATGACTAAGATTTGTTGTAATCAGACTTAAATAACAGGCTACATACAGCCTAAGTGGTTTCCGACATTTCTTGTCTGCGCAGCGTATGATTTATTTCCTATCAACACCATTCAATAAAATTGTATGGGAACAATTAGACCTAACTAATTATGTCATTTCATTAGCCTCCACTTTCACCAATTGTAGATTTTTGCGTTTTTTGTCTAGAATTAGATGTAAAGAGTGTTACAACCTTATCATCTATCAAATATCTTTGTGATCGATACTCAAAACAACGAAGTTTCAAAATGCTTTTTTGATTCTACTGCACATCGATATTTGATATTCTGGCAGTAAATATACGTTTTTCCAGAAATTATTGGTATAAACTGTATAAACTTATACTATGATCAATGAAAACGAGAACTATGAGGTTATGACAAAAAATCATAATTATAAATATTGTAGAAAACCTTTTTCAGCTCATTCTTGAATGTACCTCTTCAAAAATGTGTAAAATATTTAATATACTTCATTTATATGCACTATTGTTTGGAATCAACACTTCGTACAGTCTTGGGCAAGATAGATTAGTATGTGTTTTCCAGTTACTACTTTCATTACAACTTGTTACGTTGCTGTAATCAAATCCTACTGAGTTTGAAAAGGTATTTTAATCAATGATAATTAGTCTGTAATAATATCTATGTACATAACTACTAAAAATTATATGTGTATTTTATTCAGAACTCTTGTATCAGTACTGCAGATTTATATACAAATATTTACAATGAGCATCTTAAAAATTGAATTCTAAAATTATCTCTTTACAGCCAGTTTGTTAATTTTTTGTTGTTGAAGTCACTAATTCCCTTAAACTATTACAGCCAATTACACGAATAGGATTATAAGTGAGAGAAAAGCAGAAAGGTATATTAGACAGCAAAATATTTCACACAAGAAAATTTAAATTTCAACAACACGTGAAAAGTCGGAATTTTTTTTTTGATGAACATTTGCAATGAAAGGCTGACTTACGCATTGTCTGTGTGTACTTCAAGTACTGTTGCATTAATTTTAATTTTCTGTGGCATATAACAATACAATTTAATATGTATATAATATGAGCATCTCAGGTTATATGTATATGTTCAGGCATGTATACGGTGTTCTATTCTGCGCAGAGTTTCGCAGCGCTTCTCAACTATCCGCTTAGCAATGATAAATGTGTTTGAACGGATGGAGATATGTCAAAAAAAGATATCGAAGAAAGTGAGAATCAACAAAAATTGGTTGTTTTTCTATCTTTATTTGAAAATAAATCGTATTTTACTAAATGCCCAAAGATAAGCAGGGTTTCTGTGGTTCTCAGTAGAATTCAGAAGGTTTATAGTTTTAACTAGCGAATCACTACATAATCTTTGTGTTAATGCACCTTTTCCCCATACATTAACTTAGTTTATACGTGCCTTTTCCCAGTAATTGTTCTATAGTGAAACTATCCTTTAAGAAGGGCGCCTTCGTAGTTTTACTGGATGGGCTTTTTGGTCGATTACACGTAAGGTGGAACAAGGTACCTGTTATAAAAACGGCACAAAACTTTGTCTTTAAAACAGTTATACTCTAAGGATTTCAGCTGGTTCAAAGACGTGTTTCACACTAATGTTAAGCAAAGAGGAATTGTGAAAACATGATCCATGTAATACTGCTTATCTTGTAAAAATATTGATATACACGTTACTCTAGTGTACTGGAGATTATTTATTTTTCGCTCATACTTTTTTTAACAGTTAATCAGTCGGTTTTACAGAATTGGATTCCTTAAATGTGGATTTGTTTGTCATGGCTTCAACACTTTTACGAACTGTTAATATTTAAGTGTAAAACTTTCAACAAGACTCTGTGGTATAAAATGTGTTTTCTTTTGAAGGTTTGTTACGTACTACTATGTTGTTGTTGATATTTACCTTTACTAATCCTACTATATCAACTAAAATATTTTCTTTTGTAACAGACATGATTTCTGTGGATGGATCCAATGTTCTCTGTTTACTTTGATACATCTCATGATGCCCTTTCATAAAATGTAAACTGCTTCTCGCAATGTGGTGCGGCCAAAGGTCGAGATTAAACAACGGAATTGACTGCAGTGTCACCTGGTGTCAATGGCTGCCTACTCTTTTGTGGATTCTAGCGTCTGTCAATGGAGACGTATCATTTCAGTTTACGCAACCAGCATACAATACCACTATTTCGGAAAATCCTGTCGGAAAAGTATACATCACTTCAACAGAAAAAATGGGTATTTTCATCTTTGATCCTTTGTTTCATGTGCAATATGTCATTGTACATGGAAATGAGGAAACTTATTTTGTAGCTGAAGACCAGAAAATAGGAGACTTCTGGTTTCTTCATATTAGAACGAACACTAGAATTCAAGTACCCTTGAACAGAGAGAGTAAAGATGTGTATGTTCTACATGTACAGGCTTCAATTAACTCTGAAGTTTCAGAAAATGTTAAATTTACTGTCAAAACTGAAGTGCATATTAAAATATTAGATACTAATGATTTAACCCCTTTGTTTTATCCTTCTGTTTACACAGTTTCAATTCCAGAAGACACTCCAGTACACCAGAGTGTTGCGAGAGTCAATGCTGTTGATCCTGACGTTGGTATAAACGGTGAAATCTATTATAGTTTCCAAAATATGACATTCCAGTTTGCTATTCATCCTACAACCGGAGTTGTTACTCTGACTCGACCTCTGAGTATCGAAAAAATTTCTCATTACAATTTGATTGTTCTTGCTCAAGACAGAGGATTTAAACCAGAGGTGGGAGACATTGTGAGGAGAAGTTCTGCTTCTCTGAAGGTGGTAGTGAATGCGGTGAATCAATATCCTCCCGATATTCATACCGTGAACCTCCCCACCATTTTGAGAAACGATCTATTACATGTCTACGCTATAGTTCGCGTTGTTGATAGAGATCGAGGTATGCACGGACACATCCGAAGTGTGGAAATTATAGATGGAGACCCTTTTGAATACTTTCAAATCACCAAGGGAGAAAAGTCAGACGAATACACCATCACCATTTCTGAAAACTTACAACATGCCAGTATTACTAGTCAATTTAATCTTACTTTAAAAGCCACAGACAAAGGAGTTCCACCGAAATCTTCGTTAAGAATTATAACTGTAAGAATTCCCCACTATGACGATCGCCCTCTAATCTTCGATTCGCCTGAGTACACCACAACCATAGAGGAAATTGCACCTGTAAACACATCCATCATTTCAGTGAAAGCAAAACACCCAGATGGCGATGAAAATGTACAAATATTTTATAGGATAGAAGACGGAAATCAATTTAACTTCTTTACTATAAATAAAAAAACAGGACTTGTAACAACTGTAAAACCTTTGGACAGGGAGAAAAATTCTCATTATTCATTATTTATTAGTGCTGAAGATCAAATCATTAACGGACTTAAAAGAAAAGGAACTTCAGTAATTAATATTAAGATTTTAGACAACAATGACAACAATCCTATTTTTAATTCATCTTCTTTCGTAACAGTACACTTGGAAGAAAATAAGCCAATAGGGAGTGTTGTTTATACAGCTTATGCTTATGATCCGGACGATGGTGATAATGGTTACGTATCCTATCATCTAGCTAACATTAATTATGTGCCTTTTGAAGTAGATCATTTTACTGGGCAAATAAAAACCAAGGAAGTCTTGGATTTCGAGACAATGAGGACAGAGTACCTCTTGAAAGTTTGGGCTTCTGACTGGGGAACACCATTCAGAAGACAGTCTGAGGTCTCAGTCAGAGTTTTATTGGTAGACGTAAATGACCATAGACCACAATTCGAGAAAGTCGACTGCATTGGCTATGTTTCCAAAACAGCATCAATCCACACAGAACTCTTAACTGTTTCTGCTGTAGACTTTGATGCAGACAGCTCAGTGACGTATAAAATGGTTCCCTCGGGTTATAATCGTTGTTTTCAAGTCCATGCTATTACAGGAATACTGTCTCTGACTTGTGATCTCAGCGAAAATATATTTTCGAAGAATGTCATCAACATTTCAGCTACAGATGGACAACACTATTCAGATGTTTTGGTTATTAGTATAAAAGTTGTTGACCCGTTACAGCACCGAGGATTGATCAATAAAGATGCTGTGGTTGAATGTAGAGATGATGGTGTCACGGATAAACTAAAAGAACAGATCACTATCGCTAAAAAGAACAATCAGGATGGAACGAATGACGTCACCGAGGCTACTCCTTCAAGGTATGGGGAGAACCTACATAGTCCTCAGTTTTATAATGGCCTCCCTATGGAAATTGTTCTCAAGGAAAACCTACCAATAGGCACAGAAGTACTGAAAATCTCAGCAGAAGACCATGATCATGGTTATAACGGAAAATTGGTATATGTCATATCAAATGGAAATGACGATAGCTGTTTTAAAATTGATATGCATTCTGGAAAACTTGTTATAATTGGTGAACTTGACCGAGAAACAACAGCGAAATACATGCTTAATATATCCGTATTTGATCTAGGCCAACCACCTCAAGCTACATCAACAGTTTTACATGTTGTACTGAAAGACGTTAATGACAATGTTCCTGTCTTTGATAGATCTGCTTACGATTTTTCTTTATTTGAGGATACCCCTAATGAGACAGTTATTGCAAAACTTATAGCTTCTGATGCAGATTCTGGGCCCAACGGACAATTAGTCTTTTCATTGGCTACTGATACCAAGGATTTTTATATAGATAAAGCCATGGGGACGTTATCTGTTCATGGGCCTTTAGACAGGGAACGGATAAATTATTATAGGCTCAAAGTTCGAGTGTCAGATTCTGGTTCGGAAGAAGTTCTTTCTTCTTATACTGTGGTAAATATTGAGGTTCAAGATGTTAATGACAATTCTCCCAGTTTTCCGCTTGGTCAGTATTTAACTAAGCTTCGAGAGGACATTCCAATAGGATCCGTAGTAATGAGTTTATCGGCAACTGACCCTGATCTGAACGACGCAGGAACAGTGTCTTATGAATTGCTAAACGACAAAATGGGAATTTTTACCATCGATAAACAGATGGGAATCATACGACTAAATCGTAAACTAGATTACGAGGAAAGACAAATTTACAACTTAACGGTTTTAGCTAGCGATTTGGGAGTCCCCATGCAATCATCTAGTGCTTTCCTGCTGGTGGAAGTAGAAGATGTGAACGAAAACAATGATGCTCCAGTTTTTAACGAACGCGTTGCCACAGGAGCAGTTAGCGAAAACCAAGCATCAGGAACTTTTGTCATGCAAGTTAAAGCCAATAATGATAATCATAGAAATTGGAATGACAAAGTAGCATATTTCTTGGAAGCACAAGAAGGGACTGGACTCTTCAGAATTGACGAAGAGGGTAAGTTATTCTAATTAATAATATATGCATTATTCATTATCGTTGAAAGACACATTTTTGTCAAATAATTGATCATTTTTTGCTAAAATTCACTACTACGCTACAACTTTTGAATACATTCTGTAAGACAAATTTTATCATCGCTAAGTTACGCTATTTTATTCTCAAGTGTCCTTTTTTTCTAAGTTGTGTGAATACATTTTGATATTTTCAATTATCTTTTTACAATCTCCGTGATAATAAACTGACTCATTCATTGATTTAAGTATCTTTTTTCTGTATTTGATTCAATTAACAATTATTCTGTATTCATCTTAGTAACTATTAATCGCTTCTCGTTGGAAGCAAAATCAATAATAGTATAATTGAACTCATTAAATAAACACGTCTGTTTCTTAATATTAAAAACAAAATTCTAGCAAAATATGTACAAGTTAACCGAAAATTATTGTCAGAGTTTTTTCTTTTTTGCATTACTGTGAATACATCTTTCTCATGCATCAGCCCTCCGGTGACTCGGCTACAAGTTTGTGGGTTAGATCCTTGTTGTGTTCACAACCCAAATAGCCCATTGAGCAGCTTTTCTCTTGAAAAAAGAAACAAACAAGCATTTTGCTAAGATTTACGTTAAAAGCGAATTATATTTACGTTGAGGTTTACTGTGGAGATTTTTCCTATGCTTAATGTTTATCAAAATGAATGTCAATAAATACATGAAGTATAAAGGTGCCCGGAATTTCTTGTTTTAGTTTGTCAGATAAACTAATAAAGTAGCTAGACGTGATTCAACGAACCTGTCACGATTGTTTGAACACTGTTGTCTCCTTAGTGGTTATATCAAGTTATCACATTTTTGTTTATTTAGTTTTAAAAAGTTTCTCTTCTGGATTGAGCTATTTGTTTTGCAAGATCTAAGCGGAATCCCAGTTTTGAAGTTTTCTCTCGATTATGTATTCTCATTGAAGTGATGCGTATTGAGAAATTACAATTCCTAAGTATTTTCTTTACATGGGCTTAGACGTTGTTAGCGAACTTGTATTGTGAAACAGTAGGTTCGTGACCCGTTGTCGTAAAATACGCGAAATGCACTTTGGTGCTGCGAGTTCGATATAAAACTTAAATCCAAGTTGCACAATTTGATCAGGCAAGAGTAGTTAATGAGTTCGCGGTGATTACTGTTTACTAGCCACCTCCTCTCTGGTCTGTCAGTTCGAAATGAGGGCTGTTTGCGCAGATAGCTCTTGTGTAGCTTTGCGCGAATTTTTGAAATATACAAATTTCACGCTATTATCGATAAAATAAGCTCGTAATATATTATTTTGAAAAAGCAATTAGGTGCAAAACATATTAAAATTTATTCTGTATGTCCACTAATTTCGCTAAGAATGTTGTAGCGATTTTACAAGCCATATATCTTAATCTTCTTTTGTGAATTATAACGATCATGATTTTAAAAGTTTCTCTATTTTTCGATAAAGTATTAAACTTATCACATTGTCTGAGAAAATTCTGTCATTCGTTGAGTTTTTGGTTATATTTGAAGCTATATAAAGAATAAAATTTCCAATTGCTTTGACTTGATATCACTACTACTTGTATTTTCCTTCATATTATTTTTTACTGTAAGATGGTAAGCGTTTGTCTTTTTTACTTCGAGAGTCCATTTTTATATGCAATTTTTTAAACACAAAAACAAATAAGCTCATATACTAATTTGATAGATGAATGTCATGTGTAGTTTTGTTCCTAGAAAACGATCAGAAAAACATGAACGTTTTTGATAAATGATATAAAGTATCAAGTCTAATCCATCTGGCTGGTATGTGAATTAGAACAGTATTTTTAATAAATTTGCAACTACTAAATCGGTTTTCTTATCAAAACGTTGTTAAAATAATATCCAGGGAATTCTTTTTACAAGTCATTAACACCTAAGGTCTCTTAGCCTTTTTATATGCCCGTCTTATTCATAGTTGTAACCGCCTGCCAAATGTAATTTTCTCAATTTAATCTTTAAAGACTCTAAAATGTTAATGGCTTGAACGTGATATTATCAACTTTTTGTAGACGTTTTCAAACTAGTGAGGAAACTTACAGTATGTTTGTTTGTAAATAAGCACAAAGCTACACAATGGGTTATCTGTACTCTACCTACCACGGGTATCGAAACCCGGTTTTTAGTGTTCTAAGTCCGCAGACATACCGCTGCGCCACTGGTGGGCCTTGCAGTAGAATTGGCTGTGTTGATAACTATGTAATTAAAAACGTCTTCTTATCTAATAATTTAAGCCCCTGGATACTAACTGATTTCTCTAAGCATATCCACGTAGGAAATCACAAGTGAGTCGTCGCCTATATTACATTCTGTTACTTGATATTTTAACGTGATTAACGTATAAGTACGTTCAGTCATTTATCAACAAATAGTAAAATACAGACATGGAAACAAAACCAAATTAAAATAACACGTAAACGTGGTAATATTTGTTGCTGAACGCCACTGGATGGACAACAGGCTTCACACGTTCTCATCAATATCTAATCTCCGGAAAATGTGTTCTATGTTGAAATTTCAATCACTGATAATCCACAATATGCATATATTAAGGGCATTAATTTGAGAAAAAGTATTATTTTAAGTTGGGATGTACTGATTAGAAGACGAGAACATACAGCCATCATGTACTTCATTACTTCTGCGTATTGAACAAAATTGTTACTTTGTCCCTTACTTATTTAATAATGGAGGATTAAAATGCAAAAGTTGCAGTCTATTAGTCAAGTCTAATATTTCCTGGTTCATGGTCTGATTCTGGCAACTTTTATTAAACACTTGGTTCACAAAGTGCATTCCATATATTCATCCTTTTTTGGTTGACGCCAAAAAAATGCCCCCAAATAGCTGAGCTGTAAGTCTGTAAGTTTACGACACTAAAATTTGGGTTTCGATACCAGTAGTGGGAAGAAAAACGATAGCCCATTGTGTAGCTTTGTGCTTAACAACAACCAAACTAAGCTAGAAACTTATTAACATAACTACTTTGATATCGCATATTTTTCAAATCGAGAACTTCTAAGCTAAACATTAAGTGAAATGGCTATTTTGAAACAAATATTGTCCAAATACAGATAGATACAACACTTTTTTAATTCTTGAAACCAAAATTAGTTGAAAATACTTGGATTTCAAAACTTGGGGATTTTGGATTGATTTCAAGTTTTATAATAGTATTCTCAACCTCGAAAGGGTTAAAACCTTACTTACTGCATATTTTACTAAAAAATTTCAAGTATTCTGCTACTATTGCTCGTATAATTAAACAACATAATTTGTTTTTATTCCTAGTGGTAAAATAAAGATGCAACTCGTCAAAATAATCTTTGTTTTTAACTCCCTTTGAAATCTTGTTATTATTAAATGTCTTGCAGTAAAGTAAATAAACGATATTAAGTAAGCACAATTAGAATATATACCATGTTTGATATATCGTCTCAGTCACTGCATATAAAGTTTAAGCTACACTTTGAAACTTTGAAATCAATACACAATTACACCAGTTTCTTTATTTGGCGAACGGTTTATCTTTGTAATTTTCGTAGAAGTAAAGTACACCTCATTGTCAAAGTTTGTGCACTTAAACAGTCATATGTTGGAGTACATGCAAGATAAACTTTATGACATCAACACGCCTTTCTGCACTCATGTTTACAGTTGCAGGTTGTCAGTTCTTGTAGTGCAGCTGTGATAGTTACTTGTGACATCAGAAGCGGTCATTCCGCCCTTGACCAAATCGTGGAGATACGTTAGGATATACCAACTGGTGGAAATACCTTTTTATACAACAGTTTTACTGCTAGTGGCAAACAGAAGTCATCTCACTATTGATCAAATTGTGGAGATACGTTAGGATATACCAACTGGTGGAGATACCTTTTTCACAATAGTTTCACCTAATGACAAACATAAGTCATCTCACCCTTGACCAAATGGTGGAGATACGCTAGGATATACCAAGTTGTGGATGTACCCTTTTATACAGTTTCACTGCTAGTGAGAAACAAAAGTCATCCCATCCTTGACCAAATGATGGAGATATGTCAGGATATACCAAATGGTGGCAATACATCAAGACATTCCTCTGTACAGTGGTCTAGATATAGCTGCCTGGTAGTTATCTTTAAGAACATGTTGTTCAAGCTGGGGCTTAAATTGCTTTTCAAAAGATCATTCCGTTACACGGTACAGGAATCTCTTAAGTTCGCACAGAATAGTAAAAAAGTAAGATTACAAAAGTAAATGTTTTGGAAGGTAATCTGAAATTAAATTAAGATCACTTTTAGAAAATTTTGAAATAACTAAAGCTTCGAAAGCAAAGATAAACAGAATTTTATTGAAGATCCTACCACGCTTAATCTTATCCTATTTTCTTGGCATCTGGTAAAAAATTATATGGCCAGGGTATACACTTTCAAGAACATAAGTAAAAATGCATCTACTTTCGTTCCCGGTCAGTCATCCATAGTCATAAGCGTTTATGACTATGGATATATGCGGGCTTTGTAGTTTTTAAAGTTGTAAAACCGTGTATGTAGATAGCCATATGAATTTTGCAAGGCTCCATATAAACAACACCCTACATTAAAACGATTATACTGCTGCTGTTATTTGCTACCTAGTCAAATGAACTTAAAAACTATCTTACATAATGAGTAATAATGCGTTTAGTAATACTGCTCAGGTTTTATTACAATACTCACAGCCATTTTTTGCTGTAAGCTGTCGGAACAATATTCATTAATAACAAATGGGCGATCCTTATTATGAATCACTACCGTGTTTTATAATACTTTGCTATTAATTTGTAGATACGTCAACGAAATGGACCCTGAGATTGATTTTTTTCACATTTTTCACATTTTCGTAATATAGTGAAGTTAATCACAATGAGCCGGTATCTGTTGGTTATTAGGATAGTGATTTATAAATTGTTTGTATTAAG